TGTTATTTATATGACATTGGGCAAGTCACTTAAATCTCCCTGACCCTCAGTTTCCTAATCTGTGAAACAAGGGGGATGGCAATTGAACACTAGATCTATGATTCCAATTTTATAATAAACCATATAGCAATATCAATAATGATAAGTGATTAGTATATAAGTAGTATATACTATGTAAATAATATAACATAAATAATAATGAAGCATTTACATAGCTCTTTAAGTTTGTCCAGTGCTTTGCAGATATCTCATTTTATCTTCACAATCACACTAGGAGGTAGATGTTATTATTATCCCCACTTTACAGATGAGGAAACCGAGGCAGACAACAATTAAGTGACTTGCCTGGGGTCACACAGTGAATATCTGAGGCCTCATTTGAACTCAGATCTTTTTGACCCCAGGTCCAGTGCTCTATTTACTATACCACCTAGATACCTAGTAATAGAAGATGGGTGAATTTGGGATCACTTGCATTTTTCCAAACTGAAAGGAAGTTGGCAATTTCTCCAAGACAATCCAGTTTATTCTTCTACTATTGGACTCTATTAAATACTGAGCTCAATTCCTTGTTCATTTATATCTATATCATATGTAAATATATATACATATATATCATATATGCACATAAGAATATGTGCATATATGTTTATCTAAATTATATATATAATAGATTATCCATTTTGAGCTATAAATGACAGATGACCAGTATAATCCATTCAAAGCTATCTTCATTTGGCATTTAGGTAGCCACTCCAATAGTGAGATTTCAGTCCTAAGTCAGTAAGTAGCAGGAGATTTCAAGGTAAAGGAAGGCTCCTAAAAACCCAGAAAATACGTCATAGTTGTGGTGCCTTCTTCACTTCTCAGGTCACTTTTACTCTTACGATACCTCTTCTTTGTGACCCTATAGCATGGGAAGCAAGATGAGTGGGTAGGGCAATCTGGGTTCTAGAACTTCCTTGGCCACTGTAGGACTCTGGGTAAGGCTATTTATTAACCCCTATGGCCCTTAAGGAACTCATGTGTAAAATAGGGGTAAAAATATCTTACCCCTCTGAAAACAGGGGCATAGACCACATGACCTCTTGAAGTCCTTTCACATTCTAAGATCTATGCTTGTCATTAGCTGATTGTTATTTGGTGAGCCAGGACAGGATTGGTTTTCTTTCTCTTTTTGAGAAAGACGGAGAGAACATTTTATGAACTACCATCCATGACTTTGGAGAGTGCTAGCTAATGAATAAGTAGCTTCATTTTAATTGCTTGGGAGCAGATTTGCCTTTTGCAACTTTGGTGCCTTTCTGTGAGTCATGTGGGTCATTCAGGGATTCCATGTAATTAAATAACAATTGCAATTTATTCATCATTGGCTTTTTTTTTTATTTTGCCAAGGACTCAGCCCTTTAATGAAGGGAATTCTGGAGTGGTCTCCCACCCCCTAGAGCCTAAACTGGGTTAACCTTGGTATTCATACATACAGTATTCATTCATATTCATACATATTCAAACATGTATGTATGTATGTATGTATGTATGTATGTATGTACGTTAGCAGGGTATGGAATAAGGATAGGGAGTTTCTCATATAGCTAATTTCATCCCTCTTCCTGCTTGCTTACTAGCCCAAGTCTTCCGCCCATGTGAGATTTAGGCTCTTAGCAATCATTAAGGCTTCCAGGGCCTTCAAGAGCCCATTCAGTGTGAACTTTAAAAAGTCAATAAAGGCTCTGAAGGGACTTTAAGCTGTGATATGAGTGGTTAATCCTTTGTTTCTCCTGGAATCCTTACACAAAGTCCTCAGGAGCTGAAATCTGATCAAATTGAAAGGTAAACTAATCATGGTGGGCTGTTTGTGCTTCAGTTGTTAAGGTTGTGTCAGCATTTCCAATCTATGCTTGGGTTCTTTGGGGGATTTACAATTTAGCTTTGAATTTTATGTTGTTGTTATTGGATTTTTTTGGCTCTGGGTCAAGTAGCTCCTGAGTTCCAATACTTAAGCAAAAGGCCCTCATTGTTTCTCTTTAATCATGTGGACACCAGCTCAAAATCTGCTTGTATACACATATGTGTACACACCATAATGGAAAAAAGCACTGGCTCTGGAACCAGAGGATCTGTATTCAAATAATTTCTACCTGTGTGTCCTTGGAAAAGTCCCTTAAACTCTGTGAGTATCAATTTCTTTATGTCCAAAAAATTAAGAGTACAACTAGATGGCTTCTGAAATACTTTTATGTAACTTCTCCTGTAGCTGACTGACCATTATATATGCTAAGTAGTTCAAGGAAACACTAATTAGATTTAACAACTCTCAGTGCTTGCAATCAACTTTTATTAATCAGAGTCCAAACAGTACCCTGCTCTGAGAACAAATCACTAACCTGAATCTTAAGGGTTCCAATAAACTTTTTTTTTCATACCAGACTCACAAGATAAATATTAGCATTTCTTTACTTCACCTGTTGGCACACTGTGTTTAGTTATGTTCTGAGGCAGCTAGGTAGCACAGAGAATCAAGCACTGGACCTGGAATCAGAAAGAGTTGAATTCAAACCAAATCTCAGACACTTACAAGCTTTGCCGCCCTGCACTTAACCTTGGTCTGCCTCAGTTTCCTCAACTGTAAAGTGGGGATAATAATAGCACTTACCTCATAGGGTTGTTGTGAGGATCAAATGAGGCAATATTTGTGAAAACTCTTAGCCAAGTCCCTGGCACATCAGACACTTAATAAATACTTGTTTCCTTCCTCCTTCCCTTGTTGGAAGATACAAACTATCTGAAGTCCTGATCAGGTAAATGGCATCTGAATAAAGAAGAAATATTGTAATGACATATAATGTAACACTCATGTGACATTGTGGCAGTTCTATTCAATAAACATATATTGGGGCACTCTGCTAGCCATTCAGTGTGCAAAAATAAAATGAGAAAGTGTCTACTCATAAGGACCTTATATTCTATTAAAGCCATATAACAATACAATTTTACAAGTTTTTAGAAATTTTTTTAAATTAAAAAAATTAAATTTAAAAATTAATTTAAAAATTTTTTCTAGGTTAAATTGAGGCAAGCACAAAGGCGAGATCCAGACAAGCTGCTATAAAAATTGGAGGAGCCAGGGATCGCTTCCAGATGGGAAGAAAGAGGAGAAATCAGGGAAAACATCATGGAGGAGGTAACAGCTAAACTAGATATTGAAGGAAGGGATTTTGATACCAGTCTGAGAAATAGAGATAGAAGAAGGAAGGATAATAAGAGGAAGTGGAGAGAACAACATGTAGTCTGATTTGGTTGAAGTAAAAAAGTATGTGAAAAGGGAAAGTGTGAGATAAGACTAGAAAGGTTGTGAAAGCCTTGAATAGCAGGGGGGTGGGGGTGGGGGAAGGTGTTGATACTTAATTTGTTAGGCAATGAGAAGTGCCAAGGATGGCTTTTGAATAGAAGACTGATATAATCAGAGTTGTATTTTAGGAAGATTTATTTGGACAGTAATACAAAATACAAGGGAAAGATTGAAGGTAGGAAGACTAAGGGAGAGACTATTTCAGTAGTCCAGGTAAAGAGGTAGTGAGGGCTTGAAGTATGGTGGTGGAAGTTGGAGTGGAAAGGTTGGGGAGAACTTGGGAAATATTATTAATATAGAATCCATAGGACTTGGCAAACCTATTGGCTCTAAAGAGTAAAGGAAATGGAAAAGACAATGTCGACTTGAGATTTCAAGTCTGGATAACTGGGAAAATGGAGCTACCATCAAGACACAGGGTGGCCTAATAGACTTGGGGTGGCAAAATCTGGGCTCAAATCCCATCTGCAACCTTTTCTTGCTTTGTGATCAAAGACAATCACCTACCCGCTCTCAGCCTCAGTTTCTTCACACGCAAAAAAGGCATAATGATACCTGTGATATCTACCTCATAGAACTGTTATGAGGATCAAATGAAATAATATAAGTAAAGTGCTTTGCAAACTTTAAAACACTATATACATGTCAGTATAATTATTATTAAAAGAAATAGTTAAGAAATCTCCAGGGGACACACTACCCAATCCTACCACTAGAGTTCCAGTGTAGCTGATTCCAGCCCAACACCAGGTAAGCTGCCAGAATCTACAGCCTCCAACTGCCAACATTGGAGGCCCCAGCACACAAAGCCATTGACCAGGCCCTAGGCTCCCAACACTAGAAGCTTGGGTCAGTGCCCTCTGCTCCCCAACAGGAGAGCCCAATCTCTTTAAAGGCCAGGAAATAAGTAAACACCATGAGCAAAAAAGAAACATATGATAGATTCTTATTATGGGAAGAGTGAAGATCAAGGCAGAAATTCTGAAGAGAGCAACATTGTCAACAAACCCACATCTGGAACCTCAAAAGGGAATATGAACTGGTCTGAAGCCCAAAAAGCCTTCTTAGAAGAGCTCAAGAAGGATTTTAAAAATCAAATGAGAGAGATAGAAGAAAAATTGGGAAAAGAAATGAGAGGTATGCAAGAGAGAGTCAATAGCTTGGAAAAGGAAGGACAAAAATTAACTGTAGAAAACAAGTCCTTAAAAAATACAATTGGCCAACTGGAAAAAAAGTACATTGAAGAAAACAAGTTCCTAAAAAATGGGGTCACTTGGGGAAGGAGATACAAATGGGAAAGGAGGTACAAAATCTAATAGAAGAAAATAATTTGTTAAAAATTAGAATTGAGCAAATGGAAGCTAATGACTCTATGAGAAAGCAAGAATCAGTCAAACAAAAACAAAAGAATGAAAAAATAGATGAAAACATAAAATATCTCATTGGTAAAACAACTGACCTGGAAAATAGATCCAGGAGAGGCAATTTAAAAATTATTGGTCTACCTGAAAATCATGATGAAAAAAAGAGCCTGGCTCAGTTGGCGTCCTTGGAGCTGAGGCGGAGTAGATGCTCCTGCTGTCACTGCAGCCGCCGCCTCTGCTGCCCTTCGGCCTTGGCCTCCTCAGAGTCTCCAGAATATTGAATAGCTATGGAGGACTACATAAAAATTGAGAAAATTGGGGAAGGTACGTATGGTGCTGTATATAAGGGTCGACATAAAACAGGTCAGATGGTAGCCATGAAGAAAATCAGATTAGAGAATGAGAAGGAGGGTGTTCCAAGTACTGCAATTCAAGAAATTTCTCTGTTGAAAGAACTTCGTCATCCTAACATTGTCAGCCTTCAAGATGTACTTATGCAAGATGCTAGACTCTACCTCATTTTTGAATTTCTCTCTATGGACCTCAAGAAATACTTGGATTCTATCCCTCCTGGCCAGTATATGGATTCTTCACTTGTTAAAAGTTATTTGTACCAAATCTAACAAAGCATTGTGTTTTGTCACTCACAAAGAGTTCTTCACAGAGATTTGAAACCTCAGAATCTGTTAATAGATGATAAAGGTGTGATTAAGCTAGCCGACTTTGGACTTGCAAGGACCTTTGGAATACCTATAAGGCTCTATACACATGAGGTGGTCACACTGTGGTACCAGTCTCCAGAGGTGATGCTGGGGTATGCTAGATATTCTACTCTAGTAGACATTTGGAGTATAGGCACAATATTTGCTGAATTAGCAACCAAGAAGCCACTTTTCCATGGGGATTCTGAAATTGACCAGTTCTTCCAAATCTTCAGGGCTTTGGAGACTCCTAATAATGAAGTGTGGCCAGAAGTTGAGTTGCTGCAGGATTATAAGAATACATTACCCAAGTGGAAACCAGGAAGTGTGATGTCACATGTCAAGAATCTCGATGAAAATGGCATAGATTTGCTCTCTAAAATGTTGGTCTATGATCTTGCCAAATGAATTTCTGGCAAAATGGCATTGAACCATCCATATTTTAATGACCTGGACAGTCAGATTAAGAAGCTCTAGTTGTCCAGCCAAGCAATTCCTGGGGTTTTGTATCAAGAATGGATAGTCCTCTTGTAACGTTAAGCTCTGTCAACATTTGTCTTTATATGTGTGTTTCCTATCTTTGTTGTAAAATTGAAGCTGTCCTCTGTTTTTCCAAGGTGTTGCATAAAACTGTAAATATCATTATAATGAATAATGCTCTATGTAGATCTCATCAGTACAGCTGTTTTGTTTTCTATTTATTTATAGAAAATAAATAAACTGTAAATCCCCCCCAAAAAAAGAAAAGAAAAGAAAAAAAGAGCCTGGACAGTATCTTTCAGGAAATCATAAAGGAAAACTGCCCTGAGGTCTTAGAACCAGAGGGTAAAATAGCCATAGAAAGAATCCACCAATCAACTCCTGAAAGAGATCCCAAATTGAAAACACCAAGGAATATGGTAGCCAAATTCCAAAATTGCCAGGTCAAAGAGAAAATACTGCAAGCAGCCAGAAAGAAACAATTTAAATATCATGGAACCACAGTCAGGATTACACAGGACCTTACAGCTTCTATGTTAAAAGACTGTAGGGCATGGAATATGATATTCCATAAGGCAAATGAGCTTGGATTACAACCAAGGATCAACTACCCAGTGAAAATGAGCGTGATCTTTCAGGGGAGTAGATGGATATTCAATGAAATAGGGGACTTCCAAACCTTCCTGATAAAAAGATCAGAGCTCAACAGAAAATTTGATCTTCAAATACAAGACTCAAGAGAGACATAAAAAGGTAAATGGAAGAGAAAGTAACAACATGTTCTTAATACGGGCAAACTGTTTACATCTCTACAAGGGAAGACGACACTTGTAATTCTTTTTTTTTTTTTGTTTTGTTTTGGCTAGGCAATGGGGATTTAAGTGACTTGCCCAGAGTTTTGGCTAGGCAATGGGGATTAAGTGACTTGCCCAGAGTTACACAGCTAGTAAGTGTTATGTGTCTGAGGCTGGATTTGAACTCAGGTCCTCCTGAATCCAAGGCCAGTGCTCTATCCACTGCGCCACCTAGCTGCCCAGACACTTGTAACTCTTGTGAGAACCGTATTGTTAATACACCATGTTAAAGGGATATACATAAAGGGGAGGTATAAATTGACTTTGATGTAATGATGAAAAAAATCTAATCAAGTGGGTTAAATGGATCTAAGTAAGTGAATTAATCTGATCTCACTAAAAAAATGTACTGAGAGGAAAGGAAAGGAGGAGGCAGACAAGGGTAAATTACATTACAGGAAAAGGCACAAAAAACTATTATAGCAGAGGGAAAGAAGGGAGGGAGATGAGCATTGTTTGAACCTTACTCCCATCAGATTTGGCTCAAGAAGGCAATAACATAATCAGTTAGGCATAGAAATCTAACAGGGGAGAGAAAAGGGAGGGGGCTAATAGAAGGGAGGTGGGACCGAAGGAGGTGGTGGTCAAAAGCAAAACATTAGTGAGGAGGGAAAAGGAGAAAGGAGAAAGAAAAGCATAAATGGGGAGAGAAGGATGGAGAGAAAGACACAGATAGTAATCATAATTGTGAATGTGATGTATAAATGTAATGGAATACTATTGTGCTATAAGAAATGGTGATCAGGTAGACTTCAGATGAACCTGGAAAGACTTATACGGTTTGATGCTGAGTAAAGTGAGCAGAACCAGGAAAATGTTGTACACAGTAACAGCCACATTGAGTGATGACTGACTTTGATAGACTTAACCCCTCTCAGCAATACAAGGATCTAAGACATCTCCAAAAGCCTCATGATGGAAAATGCTATCCATATCCAAAGTAAGAACTATGGAGTTTGAATGTAGATCAAAGCATACTATTTGCTATTTTTTTTCTGTTGTGTTTTGTTTCTTCTTTCTGGTGGTTCCTCCTATTAGTTCTAATTCTTACTTACAACATCACTAATGTGAAAATGTTTAATAGGAATGTATATGTATAGCCTATATTAGATTGCGTGTTGTCTTGGGATGGGAGGTAGGGAAGGAGGGGAAGAAAAATTTAAAACTCAAAAGCTTATGGAATTGATTGTTGATAAATTAAAATAAATTAATGAAAACAAAACAAAAAAGGAAATAGTTAAGTCACATGACCAATAAGATGGCAGACTTTTTCTCTGTTTTTAATAAGGTTTCAAACTACTCCAAAATGATAATTATGAACAAGAGATAAAACAATTGTAGCCAGCTCCACAGACTGATGCCAGAAATCCTAAGGAGGGAACAACTTGATGAATTAACAACCTCTTCTAACCCCTAACATGTTTACTCAACTTCCCTTGCCCCATGTCACTCACTCTGTCAGGGCTGTGCAACAAGACCCATGGTCTTAGGCTCTGAGATCTACTCATGATATACCCTGCAAAACTGAGTAGTGAAACAAGTATGTTCAATAAAAGATAAGCATTTGAAGTTTTCCTACAAAATATATGAAGGTTATTTCCTACCAAAAATATCAGGTAATAGAAATGCAAAATAGTAAACAAATATGGCAACCAAAGAGAGTGTAATGAAATAAATTACTTCAGGAAAAAAAATCCTAGAAAGTGAAAGACAATTATGTGGCTAAAACAACAATGACATTATAATACAGCGAACATTAAAAGATTTCTTTTTATTTTTTATATTTCTTTTTTTAAAATTTAACATTTCTTTTTAAAATTTTGAGTTCCAAATTCTCTCCCTTTCTCCCCCCCCATTGAGAAGGCAAGCAATTCTATATAGGTTATATATGTGTAGTCATGTAAAACATCCATAATAGTCATGTTGGGAAAGAAAACATAGACAAAAAAAACTCAAGAAAAATAAAGTGGAAAAGAAGTTTCTTCAATCTGTGTTCAGACACCATCAGTTCTTTCTCTGGGGATGGATAGCATTTTTCATCCAAAGACCTTCAGAGCTGTCATGAATCATTGTATTACTGCGAATAGCTAAGTCATTAACAGCTGATCATCTTATAATATTGCTGTTACTTTGTACCCAGTACATTTCACTTTGCATCAACCCATGTAAGTCTTTCTAGGTTTTTCTGAGAGCATCCTGTTCATCATTTCTTATAGTACAATAGTTTTCCACCATAATTACATACCACATCTTATTCAGCCATTCCCCAATTGATAAATATTTTTGTACATATAGGTCCTTTTCCTTTTTGTTTTTTTAAATCTCTTTTGGGATGCAGACTAGTAGTGGTATTGCTATATCAAAGGGTATGCATGGTTTTATAGCTAGAGATTTCTTTTTAAAAGTACACAAGGTGACAAGGGCAAAAGTAAAATTTAAAAAGACTTGATGGTGAAACAATAAGCCTAAAACTCCATGGACTAATCCTTGCAACACTGCCTATAGCTGGATCAATGCTTTTGTTTGCTTGTTTTTTGGGGGCACTAAATGACAGAATGGAAAGAATGCATTGAAAGGGAAATGAGATGAAGAAGATTGAGAGGAGTGTGTGATATATCACAATCAATGCAATGGTAAAAATGAAAGTAAAATAACACCTATAGTCTCTCAGGAAGAAGAGTGCTTATAGGAGAATGGGTGAGGTGATAAAAGAAAGAACTGAAACAAGAGAATAGAAAAAGGGAATATCAATTCAGTGATGGGAAGAGGTCTCATTGAAAGAACACCTCCATGTGAGGAATAAAATTCTATAATGGAAGATGGGGATCTCGGCAAGGGTATAATATAAAGAGATTTGGTGCTTAGAGAGACCACTACTGCTGAAAGTGTGATGGCTCCATGAAAAGCTTTCTGCCTCAAGAGAAGGAGAATCAAAGTTCTGTGGGGCAAACGACCTTCAGAAGGGTTGGAGGGCATGGATCCAGAGAGGAGATTTCATGGCAAATGGGAAAAAAATGATTATGAGTAATGCAGAAGGTAGTAACCAATCTCACAATCAGGAACACAGGAAAATGTCTACCATGGTATAATACATCTATCTTCTTTATCTTTAGTAAGAAAAGATACTTTTAAAAGCGAGGAACAATAGAGAAAAGGAGGGTAAGATCTATGTGGAAATAATGTAGACACTGTCCAGAAAAGAAATAGGGAACTTAGGAACAAGGAAGGTTTATAGATCAAAGATGATGATCTTTGGAAGCTTTGAGTTTGAGGTTCTGGTAGAACATGTAGTATTAATGTCCAGCAGGCAAGTGGAGACGTGAGATTGGTAAATTATCATATGCATGGAGGTGATCATTGAAACCAAAGAAGTGAATACGATCCACAAGGGAGAGAGTAAGTTAAGACTAGAATAGAGGGCCAAGTACAGGGACTTGAGGGACATCAGTGTTTAAGAGTAAGAAAAAGAGGAAGAATGAGTGGAGACTTAGAAGGAATTTTCAGAGACAGAAGAAAACCCAGAAGAGTACAATGGAATGCCACAGGATTATCAAAGTCAAGATAGTCAAAAGCTACATAGAGGTCAAGGAGAATGAGAGGTTTAAAATAAAGTAGATGGTGGAGGGCAGAGCACTGGGTTTAGTAATGAGGTCACTAATGACCTTAGAGTATGAAATGTCAACAGATTAGTGGGATGGAAGCTGGATTGAAGGGAACTGAGAAATGAGTTGGTGGAAAGGAGATGGTGTGAATAAGTGTATATAACTTTTTAGTATTTTACTAATGAAGGGGAAAGAGCACAGAGCAAAGAATTGAGAAACCTAGACTTTACTTTTGGTTTTGTCATTAACTCACTGTGTGACCTTGGACAAGTCATTTTAACTCTCAATGCTTCAATTTTCTTGTCTGCTAAATGCAAATAATAATCTTTCCCCTCTGTACCTCACAGGGTCATTGGAAAAGTCAAATAAGTTTTTGAAAAGCTTAAAAGGACATTCTTATAGTTTGTGTATGCCCCTTTTCACTTATTAGACTGTAAGCACTCTGAGGCCAAGGATTGTATCTTCTCCATCTTGGAAAGCACACAGCAGAAGTTCTTTGGACCTCAACAAGTGAAATGACTTGGCCACATCACAAAGTTGGTTAATGGTTGAGCTAGAATTAGAATCTGGACCTTTGAGTCATTCAAAGAGTATTTATTAAGTATTTAC